CGGCTGGGCCAGCGGTAGGGGCAGTGCGGCGTGGCTCGGCAGTGGCAGCCGCGGCGTTGTCCGACCGCTTGAGGAAGGTTTGGTTGCTGATTGTCCAAATCTTCGTGGCCTTCGTGAGCGGGCCAACGGTGGTGGTTACCTTGAACCGTTCAAGGATGTCCATCACCAAAAACGGGTACGGGAGGAGGTGATCGTGGTCGGTGGACGCGGCGATCGTCATGTTGATCATGACAAACTTTGCCCAATTGATTGGGGCCGAATGTATGATCGCATGGATGAGCTTGAGGTCTTCCCCGTGCATGATGGTGTGGCCGTGCTTCTTCGGTTTGAGGATCCGGGAGACGATGTAGAGGACGAGGCGGCCTTCGGGGTTGGCGGAGTGGATGGTTGGGCGTCCCGAGGCATGGCGTTTGAGCTCAGTGATGCCAAGCTCGTTGAGGATAAGGCCCTCGGTGTTGAGCACCTAATCCTCTCCACCATAGTGAGACACATCGTCGCCTTGGAAGGGGAGGCCGGTGATGCGCCCAAGCTGCTCCACGGTGAGCTCGATCGGCGTGCTCTTGACAAGCGAGTAGAGCACGTCGTCCTCACGCCGGAGGTTGGAGTAGAAGGCTCGGATCAGCGCCGGGTTGATCTCCTTTCGTGCCCGGGAGACGAACGGCCAAAGGCCGGCTTGATGAAGCTGCGCGTCGAGGTCATCGTAGCCCTGCAGCTCCGGGTAGCGCTCCGGGATGATCCGTGGGGGAGCCACAACCCGTTTAGAGAAAAAGGTGAGAAATCGGGTGCGCTCCTCCTCGGAATCGAACCAGAGGTACGACCCATCGCCGTAGTAGAGGCATTCCTCGGAGGTTGTGGACGGTGCCCGGGATTTAGACTTCGATTTCCCGGAGGTAGCAGCCCTACTCTTGTCTTTGCCCATGGTGATGAAGAAATCTCAAAGAAAATGTTAGAGAGGATAAAATATGCAAGGAGATTGAAGAAGATTGAGTTTAGATGTGAGAAGAAGGTAAGTAGGAGGCCAAATATATATAGGATTAGGTTTTCAACGTTCAAAAATTCAAAAATCTGGCAGTTGGAGCATTTAATTCAGTGCCCAACGGGTATTTTTTTTTGAAAAATTTGACTTGAACAGCGATGTTCTGGAGGCAACATCGCTGTTGAGACAGCGCTGGTGGAATTCAGAACAGCGCTGTTGTGCGCCAAGTTTTAAAAAAAAGGTGTCAATGGGAAAGCGATGTTGGGTACACTACAGCGATGTTCCAAAAGCTTCTGGAATTGTGTAAGGGTTTGAACCCATTAGAACAGCGCTGTTGGGTTATCCTACATCGCTGTTTTGCGATTGGGAAAAAAAATTTGTAAAAATGGACATCGATGTTGAAGGTAAGACATCGCTGTTTAAAAAGTTTCTGGTTTTGGTTGAAAACAAAAA